TACCTATCCCAGTTAGCTGGGAGCTGAGGATGTCACCCTACCATGGGAGGGAGGGAAAGAGATCAGGAAGGGGGTGAGATGGAAGAGACGCTGAGAGGAGCGAAGACAGAGGCCTCCAGACCCGGGGGACAGGAATGGTGGGGAAAGCAGGGTGATCGTGTTCAGCTGGACCAAAGTATAAAAATCAGAAAGTAGGCCAAGAACTGAGACTCCCCAGGGGGCATTGTCTCCCCATCTCTGGAGTTCCAGAGTCTTCCAGCTGCCTTACCCCATGCCCCCAGCCCTCCAGAACGGCTCTGACGCAGCCATTCTCACCAAAGCCTCAGTGGATATGTGCGGTACCCAGCGGCCAGAGAAGGGAACAAGGATTGGAAGAAAACGGTGTCCTCAGCCAGACTAGGAAGGAAGGGGAAGGCACGGGCCCTTCCAGCCCTGACCTTCTAGGCCATTCCCCGTCCACGGGGCCCCGGCTGCTGAGACTGGAGGGGCTTGTTGGGCGGTCGGCCCTGGGGAGCCTCGTGTACACACACTCACACACACTCCACATTCCAGTTGTGCTCTGTCAGCATCTGGGCAAACCAGGATTGTGTGGCTTTGGGAAGGCGGGAACAAATAACCCCCAAACGTGGGCAAGGGCGGGCCCGGGGCTTGTTGGAAGAGACTTAGGAGAACCCCAGGGAGTCAGTCACTTCGGTGCTAGGTCGCAGGGTTCAAGTTCCGGAGTGTTCCTGCTATTCTCTGAGATGACTGGGTCAGCACTCCCTGGGGTGTGGGCTGTCCTTGTCCCTTCCTCTTAACGCTCCCCTCCACCCAAGGCCTCAGGACCAACAGCAGAGCACTCCAGCCTGGCACACCCAAGCACCCACTTATGCAACATGAGGGCTGCCTGTCACACTGCGGCCCAATTTCTTTTGCCCTCCTCCCCGCTCCCACCTCATCTCCACACCCTCTCTGATTTCATACACTCCATTACGTGGACCCTTGTATTCCACCCCTTGATTTCTCTTGAGATCTTTATCGGGTAGGCCCCTCTTGCCCTTAAGTGCTTTGAGTCCTGAAGACCAGTTTCTCATACCCACAGTCTGATTTCTTTCCTTCTGGTGACCTGGTAACATTTTTCTCCAGTACTTGATTTCTTCAAGACCCGGCCTGACTTCCTCCCTCTTGGGCCCTACTCAGTGCTGTCTACTCCATGATCCAGCAGTACCCAGTATCCCCGTGGATGGTGTCTGGACAGAGGATGCAGGGTGTGGCAGGCTGCCAAGGGCCATGGGTAGCCATGCAGGGATGTCAGAGCAGACAAAGGACGGTCAGTTCTGGGGTCCTGAGGCTGAATTCTGCCCTTGGTCCTCAACCCTCTGGCCCCACTGACCCTTGGTTCAGGCTAGCCCAGGACTGGAGAGGTGAATAATCCTGTCACCTTAGAGAGAGCTCAGAGATCAGGCCTGAGGCCAGATGGGCAAAGTGAGGAATAGAGAGATCCCAGCGTCACAGGACATGTGACCTGACACTTGAGGCGTGGAGGGGACCAGGCTGACAGGAGGGCAAACCCCTTGACCCCTCCCATCCCTTTCCACCAGCCGCAGGGCCACAGGCTGGACCACCCTGCTTGAGGGGGGAGCTGGGACCAGTGTTTATGCAACTGTGGGGAGGCCACAGCCTGGCTGGCAGTGCCGCCTGCTCAGTCCCAGGACTGACTCAGCAGAGCACCCCAGCACGTACACATTCAGACACACACACACACACACACACACACACACACACACACACACACACGTGGGCACGTACACACAGACAGATGGGCACATGCATACACAGGTGGACACACATGGGCACTCACACTCACAGGCACACTTGTGGACATACGAGTATGCACACACACACAAACACAAAGAAATATACACACAGTCCACCAGCCAGCGCAGGTGGGAAGATGCTGAGTGGGGGGACCCCTCATCCCTGCAGCTGAATTCCACCCTCTAGGTTTCTCCGCCCCACCCACTCTAACAATCTGACAACCTTCAGCCAATGACCCAAGGCCCCAAACGACAGCCCACATGTGGTGAGCACAGCCACATAACCAATGGCCCCAGAGTGGCAACGTGGCCATGGCTAGGACAGAGACAATCCGTATGTGGAGCTGAGCCTTCACGGACGGGAACAAACAGCCCCACATGAGCTCTCAGACACAACAGCCCCACCTCTGCCCCCACCAGCCACCCCCCTCCCCAGACCATCCCCTCTCAGTCCACACAGGCAGACAGGTAGGAGGGCTACAGAGGGTCTCAGAGGCATGTTGGAAGGCCCTCTTCCACTGCCAGTCAAGCCAAGTGAACTAGGGGGCCTGCAAGGAGGAGGGCATGTTTGGGGGACCACTGGGGGCACTGTAGGACCATCCTGGACATTGGAGGTGGGACGGATATTCTTTTTTTTTTTTTTAAGATTTTTATTGGGGAATTAGGAGGATGGGAATAGCGCTGGGGAATTGGGGGAAGGGGAACAGACAAGTTGCTGTCGTTGTGTTCTTCAGTCTAGTTGTGGAGGATGTCGCTTCACTGGCACAAGTTGGCACCATCATTGTTCTCTTCCCGGGAGAGGCAGATCAGTCACTGGCTTCTGGACGGCCGCTCATGGCGGCTGCTGGCCACTCACGCTGGCTGCTGGCTACATATGGTAGCCCATGGCAATCCACTGCCACAGGGGCTGCAGCCCACGCCGTCGCTGGCAACTCACTGGCAGCCCAGCTCCAGGTTGAGCTGTCGTTCAGCATCTTAGCTGTGGAGGGCAGTGTCACTGGCCCTCATATGTGGGATCCAAACCGGGGCCCTCTGGCGTCCCAAGCCAGCTCTTAACCATCGCGCCACTCGGCCAGCCCAGGGACGGATATTCTTAAGAGAGCAGAACATGTATCCCCTGGGACACAGGACATATTTGAACTTGGAAAACAGGGCGATCCCTGCCCATGGGACTCCAGCTCAAGGTAAACATCCCCGGGAAGAAACGGCTGGGACCACCAAGGCCTCTGTGGCCCCTGGAGACTTGAAGGGGAGCTCAGCAGTTCTGGGCTTGGTGACCAGGAGCGAGGTGGCTGGGACAGACAGGAGCTGGGGGCTGCCCAGAAGGATAGCCACGTCAGATCGCTCCCTGCCCTGATTGGGGCCAGAGGGCGGTCCTGCTCACTCTAAAGGGGTCCTCAGCCACTAATTGGCCAGGGAGGGTACCCAGGGTGCAAGGTCACACATGCACATGGCGATACCCCCACTAGCCGAGGCCACCACAGTGAAGCCATAGGTGCCTCTGTTCCTTGCCCCACCAGCCAGCCGGACTAAACACCATGAAAGGGTAGATCACTGCCCCTCCCCTCCCCCTGAACCAGACCTGGGGCTGGAGTGGACTACGTTTAGATAAGGAAAGAAGCCAGAAAGCCTCACAATTTGCCCGAGATGTTGCTGAGAATATTTTTTAAATGACCTGAAATCAGACCACTTCTCCCCATCTCCTAACTGGTTTCCCTGCTTCTGCTGGTGTCTCCCAACCTGTTCTTCACCCAGCAGCCAGAGTGATGCTGATAAAACATCTCCCCAAAGCACACACCAAACCCCTTCCCACGGAGCCTCCATTGCTTCTCTGCTCCCATCTTAGGGCCTCAGATGCCGGCATGGCTCCCTGGGGCAGGTGCACACCTTAGAACCCGCTCTCACACAAGCAGATGCACTCGCGTCCACATGAGGCCACGGACATGCTCCCTGATGGGGCTGCCCTCACCTCCTGGTCCTCCTGGTCTGTGGCTGCTTCCCGCCCTGAGTGGCCCATTCCCCACTCTGAGCCTTGATCTCCCCACACCTCCTATCTCTAGGGCAGCGGTTCTCAACCTGCGGGTCGCGACCCCTTTGGGGGTCAAACCACCCTTTCACAGGGGTCGCCTAAGACCATCGGAAAACAAAAAGATATTTACATGACGATTCATAACAGTAGCAAAATTACAGTTATAGAGTAGCAACGAAAATAATTTGATGGTTGGGGGTCACCACAACATGAGGAACTAACTGTATTAAGGGGTCGCGGCATTAGGAAGGTTGAGAACCACTGCTGTAGAGCCTCCAGCCTTTCTGCAGGGCATTGCTCTTCCTCCCCCATCAAACCTGTGTGTCACCGTGTGTGTCACCTCCTCCAGAAAGCTTCCGCTCACTCTCCCCACTGGGTTCTGAGGAGCGGGAAAGACAGGGGCCTGGCCCAGAGCAGGACGTGGCAGTGACGCAGGTGTTTGCAGAGATGTGTGCCTCTCCTCCCGTCACTGCACCCTTGGGACTGCAGACAAAGCCCAGGGCTGAGGAACCCACTGGTAGACCCCAGATGCTGCTCCAGCAAGGCCTTTTCCTCAGGCAGAGCCACGCCGCAGGCAGAGTGCCTCAGTTTCCCCATCTGAGTCAAGAAGAGGTCTAAGGCCTCTTCAGCTCTGACAGCCTAGGGACAAAGTCAACTCCTGCCTTGCCACCCATTCCCAGTGTGACTCAGGCGAAGTCATTCTCTGCTCTGGGCCTCAGTTTCCCCATGTATGATATGAGTGGCTCTGGGCCAGTGCCCCATGGTTCCCTGATGGCTGGTCATGGAAAGAGACCCCTCAGATGGAGTTCTCAGGCTCCAGTTGCATCTCTGTGCTTGGGGCCACAGCACGGGGCAAAGGACTGGCAGGACAAGGGAAGGCGGCCAGGCCCCTCCGAGCTCAGCCTTGCTCCTACCTCAGTGTCCCGGTGGGCAGGCTCACAGTGTTGGCACACCAGATGGGACAGTTTTGATCGGATGAGTTTTGATGGGGGTTTTGATCAGGTGAGCAGCATTTCAAAATGACTCCCTCTGTTTTGTCCAGGGCTTGCCACGTGTGGCTCATAGCATTTCTAGAAGTCAACCAAAGGGCCAGAGAGGAAAGAAAGACGGAAGGAGAGGAGGAGGGGAGCGGGGGGAGGGGGGGGGGAAGGCAGGAAGGAGAAAAAGAAGCAAGGGAGGATGAAAAGATGGCTTTTATTCATGGGGTCCAAGGGGTGGGGACAGAGATGCAGTCGCAGGTGAGGGCAGCCTGATGGGGCAGGAGATGACAGTGATGCAGAGACATCCGCAGGGCTGTACAGAAGAGCAGGTGCAGGAGTCTCGGTGCATTCCCCTCCTTCTCACAACTCTGGGCCACTGGTGTCAACATCATGAATGGGAGATGAGCTGTCCCCAGCATGGCCTCCCCTGGGCTCCCTGAGAGCAAAGGGGTCACAGGTTACGGTGGATGGGGGGTTGAGCAAGACAGCAGGATGTCAACTGAGAACTGGAGTAGGTGGAGATGGGGTGGTGGCCACAGGGATTTGGATGACAGAGGCATGAGGGGGGACAGCAAGGCTGAGAGCGGCAGAGGTGGCAAAGGTGACAGCAGGCATGGAAGAGAATTGGGGTCTCACCTGCGGTGAGAAGTTCAGCTGGCCATGATGTGCTTCACGAATGCTGGAAAGAAAGGGAGAGTGCGTGGCATGGGTTCAGCCCTGGGGAGCCAAGGGTAGGAATCTAGGGTCCCAATGTCCCCCCAGAAGTCTTCCTGCCCTGCTAAGCCCACCTTCGTAGTTGATGCAGCCATTGGAGTCTTCTTGCCCAGCCATCAATTTCTCCACCTCATCTTCTGTCAGCCTCTCACCTGGTGAGGGTGGGAGACTGAGTCAGCACCGTCCAGAGGTGCGAAGGGTAGGAGGACACAATGAGCCCCTCTGGATAGCAGGTCTGCCTCTCCAGTATTCCCACACCTCATGTTGGCATAACCATCATTGCTTACAAGGCCTTGGCCATAACCCCCATTTCTGAGACCAGGAGAATCAGTGACAAGTCAAAAAGTACAGGGCCTGAGGTGAAGGCCTGGTGCCCCCTCCGATCCTGGGCTCTGCCCATAACAGTACCATCTTGGTATTCAAGTCACCAGTACGTATCGTCCTCTGCCCTCGATAGGCTGGGCAGAGCTGGGAACCTCGGGGGATGACTGTGGAAGGGACCAAGAGACACCACCACCGTTCCCCAGGCAAGTTAGACATTTTGCTGCTTCTGTGCTTTTGTGTGTGCTGTGCTGGTCTCCCTCACCAGAATGCCAACTGCAGTTTCCAGCCCCCTCCACCTCCCAGCTGCATGCATATAACCCTAGAAATTTTCACAGGCCTAAGCACACAGTAGGTGCTCAATAAACATTTGCTGTAGGAAAAAGTCCCTTTGAGAAGGGGACGCCCCTGCTAGCCAGGCACCTGACAGTGGGGTCGGGATGCCAAAGAGGCTGGAACGTGACCTACTTGGCCACTCAGATGACATAGCCTTGAATCTTGACCTTGAGGCAATGAACACCAGGGCTGAGTTGATCCTCCTGGATGTACCACCTTGCTCCACCCTGTCCCCAGAGCTGTTCCCATCCCCCTTCCATTCTGTGAGCTACACCAACACACTTCATTGATTCCCCACCTAAATTTCTAAATCCCCCACATTTCTGTTGCCTGCCATAGAGGCACCTTGACTGTGTCACTCTCCATTTCAAATGAGATACAGGCCTGGGGAAGGACAGAGTGGTTTCTCCCAGGATGACTGGAACAAAGAGTGGAGGTGGGGGAGGCTGCCCTCACCCAGTGTGGCCAGTACGTGGCGGAGCTCAGCGCCCATGACCGTGCCGTTGCCCTCCTTATCGAAGACCCGCAGCCCCTCCACGAAGTCCTCATAGGTGCCCGTGTCCTTGTTCTTGGAAATGTGCTGGAGCATGGGCAGGAATGTGTCAAAGTCCATCATCTTGGTGTTCAGCTCTGTGGAGAGATGGTCCCAAGTCCCAGGCTCTGAGGGGCAGGAGGGACACGCCCTTCCCCTGGGCCCCATAACGAGGAGCTATTGCCCTTACACAGTCTCCAAAGCACTCTACACCAGCTTGCCATTTACAAAGCACTCCACCATCACAAGGCACTTGACAGTCAATTGAGAAATGCAACCTCCACGTAGCCTTTACTGTTCACAAGGAGAGCTGCTGCAATGGCACCACAGAGGGCTATGGATAGCACTTCTGTTCCTTTTTTTGGGAAACAGTCTTTGCTAGTGTCATTTTCTTATTGACCCCACCTTCCTCGCCACCTGTGATTGGTCAGGAGCAGCTGGGCTAATAGAGGCCTTCCCTGGGACTTTTAAACCTGTGGCGAGGACTTGGGACTCACTCCTCCTTGGGACAAAGCAGGCAAACTCCTTCGGCCACTGTGGTGAGGCAAGCTGGCCCTGACCCACAGAGAGGTGCTGAGGAGGCGAGGAGGGGAACAGGGATCCCCTGGCCCACCCTCATGCCAGCCACTGAAGCTAGTAAGCACTCATCAGCGCCCGATGACCAGCGGGTCTGGCACATCAGCATGGGGCCAGAGGATACAGCGAATCGTCACTGCTCATCACCTTATCATTGTCACCTGAGACCATCCTCAGTGTCCTTATCTAGACAATGGGAGGATGTCAGGACAGTGCACAGCAGGGAGGTTTCTGCGTTGTCCCACCACAGATGGCCGCCTACCCTGGTGGTCTCCCCAGGGATCGGCGTAATGGAGAGATCTCAGGCCGGGTGCACCAACCTTCCTGCTTTGGCTTCCCCAGAACACGGAGCACCTCGGCCTGGGTGGGGTTCTGGCCCAGCGCTCTCAGGACGTCCCCACACTGCCCGTATGTAATCTTCATCTCACCCTTGGGTGTCCGGTCGAACAGCATGAAGGCTTCCTTGAACTCTGGCGGGAGAAGGAGGGCGCTATTGACCCTCCAGGAGAAAGCCCACCCCACTCACCCACACTGCTGGCAGGACTCTCAGAGTGGGGACCCCAGGCCCAACCCTGCAGCCCCTGGGCGCAAGACCCCCACTCACCTTCAATCTGCTCCGGTGTGAACTCGATCTGAAAGGAGACCCCAAAGATTCTGAGTGCCGGCTCGGAGGGTGGGGCCAGGCTTCCTGGTGACTCTGTGGCCAGCCCAGGCTTTACGCGCTCTGCTGCCCTAACATGTCCCCATCCAGGATGCGTTTCCACTGCCCTGATGTCCACCTAGCCACCCTCCTGCCTCTTTACCTGTCCCCACCTGTTTGACCTGAGAGCCCTGGGTCTTCGCGTACCCAGGCCCTGACACTGGTACATGTATGTGTCTTTACACATGTGTGTATATGCATGTATTTGTCTGCCCCTCACAGAGCCCTCAAGGCTGGGCACTGTCACTCACATGGCCCTACCTACACCTGGGTCTTACGCACCCCCATTCGTGAGCCCAAGGCAGCCCCGCCCCCGCCCTGCACACAGCGCAGCAGGGAGCAAAGGTGGTAGAGTGTTTGCTGAGGCCACATCAGGGCCACCTGCCGTCAGAAGGCCTCCTGGGAGCCAGTCTCCCCCTCGTCTCCCCCTCCTCACCCGATACCACTTCTATTTTTATCACCGCAGTCACTTGCCCCAAGGTCAAGGTCGCAGGAGGGAAAGGAGTTTGGGGGAGGGGTACCTGACCAGCATCTCGCTCACTGCTGCTCCCGCGGGGCCCCGCTAACCTCCATAGTGCACACTGCTGAGACAGATACCCGGCCATGGTGGTCCCCTCTGGCTCCCCAGAGCTCTTTGTCCCCACCAGGAAGCCTGCTGACATTAGGTTCCCTGGGCTCCTGGCAGTTTCCTGCCCTTCAGCAGCCAACTGAGGGACAGGGGCAAGGGTAACACACGAGGGGCCTCACTATTGCCTCCTCTTGGAGGGAAATGTATGACAACTTCAGGTCCAGTGAGACTGGACAATGCCACCATGGGCCCAGGGTGGTTGGACCCTCACCAGGGGGTGCTATGGGACACAAGCCTGGGGCCTGGGGGTGGTCGGGGGTCAGGGAGCCAAATCCAGGGAGCACTTGCTGTGCGTGGTCCCATTCCACAGCTGAGGAAATCAAGTCTCAGAGCAGAGAAGGAATTTGAACCCGTGTCTCAAGGGACAAGATAGCTGCTTCCCAAATCAGTCAGGGGCTGGATCCGTGCAGGTGGGCCGCAGGTCCTGCTGGGCCTGTGGGAGCCATGAGGGGCTGGGTGGCTCCACCTCAGCCAGCAGTCCGGGCCGCAGTGGCTGGGGGCCAGCCAAGAACAAGGAACAGGCAGGTCACAGGGTGCGTGCCGCTATGCAGATGCCACCGGTGGGAGTCATGGCACGCTCTCCAAGTTTAGACTCTGAGAAAGACTCCTAGCCAGGGAAGGGCTCCTGGGGCCACTGGTCACAGCTCTGAGACTAGCTTCCTGCATGACCTATCAGCCTGCACCTCGATTTCCCCACCTAAAAGCTGAGGCCCTCACAGCTCTGGGGCTCAGGCACCTTGGCAGGGGTGTGTGACCCAGCCTGGGCAGGGGCCTCGCTTCCTTTTACTCCCCACCCCATCTACCCTGGGGCACTTGACATGGACTTGAGACCCCACAGCTGGATAAGGAGGGTCCCTGCCTGGCTGCAGGGTAGGGGGCAGGCAGCTCCAGGATTCCCCAAGGATGTGAGGTCCAGCGAGAAGGGTACGGATGTACCAAAAAGACATTCCCTCAGCAGCACCGGGGGAGTCCTGCTGATGTCTGCCCACCATCCCTTCTGCTGCAGCCCTCCTGGTGCCTGAAGCCCCCAGGGCTGGTCTGACCTCCACACAGAAGCTTCTAGCTTCAGCTCACTGCTCACTTTCTAAAGCCGGACCTAACACTGGCTAGGTCCACTATGGGATCCACTTACCTGCCCTGCCCTTCCGGTCAAAACCTAGCTCCCATACCCACCTTGATCTTGGAAGCATCAAACTCAACTTCCTTCGGGCGCTCAGGTTCAGAGGCAGCTGGAGCTGGAGCTGGAGCTGGAGCTGCTTTAGGGGCTGCCTTGGCCTCGTCCTTCTTGGGTTCTGGCTTTTTGGGGGCCATGAGGGCTGTAAGCACAGAGAAGGACGTGAAGAGAAGGAAGTAGGGAACAGGGTAGGTGAGCCTCCCTCATCTGGCCTTTATTCTGCCTGGACACCTCATGCCCTCACCCCCACCCCCACAGTGCACAATAGGGACAGGGCCATAAAAGGACATTGGCCAGGCTCAGGGGCTATTTTGGGGTCTGGGGAGGGCATTGTTCAGGCTGAGGAATGGGTGGGGGAGAGGGAGGGCTGTCCATTCCTTCCAATCACCTGTTGGGGAGGCGGGGGGAGGGGGGGAGAGAGGCTACTGCTCAACACACAAGCACACCCTCAAATGCACACGCACACATACGTACAGGACCCCACTGCCCCACAGCGGGTCAATATATTGAACAGGCGCAGAGGCTGGACCAGCGTGTTTTGTGTGTTGCACTGGGGACAGAAGGCCTGGAATCACCTCAGGCACCTCTTGAGTTAAACTTCCCATCTGTGCATGGAATTCCCAGGTGTCTATGTCTGTGTCTGTGTTGGGGGGCGGGGGGGGGCGGGAATGTCTGCTGCGTGTGTTGTCTCTCTGTGTTAGCATGTTTGCATGCATGTGGGGTCTCTGTATAACTATGGTGGGAGGGTGTGTGTATCTGTGTGTGTTGCCAGGGTGCCTTTAGGTATGGGGGCGTCCTGTGTGCTGCCTCTGTGTGTTTGTGTCTGGGTGCTTATGTGTGTCTGTGTGTGGGTGTCATGGCTCACACGTAGCTGCAGTACCAGCCATTAGCCCAAGGGTCTCCGGGAACACCCCAAGTGGCAGTGGCATGGGTGTCCCTCCCTCAAGGGCAGCCATCCAGACCATTTCAACAACTGAACAGCCCCCACGGCCTCCTTCATCAGCACCTGCTTGGCCCTGAGGCCAGTTTCTGGGTTTCACCCTCTTTTTTTTTTTAATATTTTATTGTGGAATTGGGGGAGGGGAACAGCGTTGGGGAATCGAGGAAGGGGAACAGACAAGTTGCTGTCCTTTTGTTCTTCAGTCTAGTTGTGGAGGACGTCGCTTCACTGGCCCATGTTGGTATTATCATTGTGTTCTTCCCAGGTGAGGCAGATCGGTCGCCGGCCACTGGACGGCCGCTCACAGCTGCTCATGGCGGCTCACGCCGGCTGAAGCCACTCACCGGAGATTATGGCAGCCCACTGCAGCTTCACTGCAGCCTATGCCGTTGCCGGCGACTGATGGCAGCCCAGCTCCAGGTCGAGCTGTTGTTCAGCATCTTAGCTGTAGAGGGCGCAGTGTCACTGGCCCTTATGTGGGATCTGAACCGGGTCCCTGCTGCTCAGAGCTGGCGTCCCAAGCCAACTCAACCAACGTGCCACTCAGCCGGCCCTTCACCCTCTTTTCTTATTGCCTCTCTTTACAGCCCCTATGACCCACTTTCCCCACTTACCTCAGGTCCTGCTCCCTGCCAGACCCTTTTACACACTGTACGCTCTGCCCTGAGTGCCACTGTCCCTCCTCTGCTTGGCACATCAAGGCTCAGCCCCCACTGACCTCTCTTCCAGGAAGCTCTCCCAGATGCTGCTCCCAGCTCCCCAAGCTTCTCTCTGCCAACCTTTTTGGTGGGGGCCCTGGGAGGGTCTGCCTCTCTGAGGGACCCCAGGGGGCTGGGCAAGGTTTTCCCCCTGGTGCCCAGCTCAGGATGATCACCCCCAGTTCCTAGCCATAGTGCCCACCTGAGAGTGCCCAGCCTTCAGCAAATGGCAGTGACAGAATACAGCCTGGCTGGGCCACCATTTGGGGAGATGGGGGGAGCAGGGAAGGGTGAAGTGGCATAAAGCCCTTCTCGGCACAGAACTCCGAGAGCGGGACATCTTGCAAACATATTGGGCTCCATTCCTTGCCCGGAGTCTGCGCTGGGGGGTGGGAAGGAGGTGTCCCTTGTTATTTTTAAGTGCCTGGAGCCTTTGATAGAAACTTCAGAGGCAATGCCCCTCCCTCCACCCCCAGACTCCTGGGAATTTCCCAGGTGTGGAGCTGGGGCTGTACCCTGAGGGGAGGAGTCACCTGGCCTCTACCTGGGCACCCCCACTGTTCCTGCTGGACCCAGGTCTATCTTATCCTGTTGCTCAGCCTCATGGTGAGGGGGACAGCCGTCCAGGGATGGGGCTGGGCCCCCCCCTAGCTGCAACACAGCACATTCCTCCCCTCATCTGGAGGGCAGAACACCCCACATCTGGAAATCTGACAACATCCGGTGCTGGGGGGAGGCAAGTTTTTCACTTTCTTCCAGATGTTTGGCAAGAGTATTGAGAAAGAAAGGGGTGGGAGAAGGGTCCGCAGAGACAGTCAGAAATACCACAAGAGGAGAAGACAGCCAGAGGGGGACACAGAGAGAGGTCTCTGGGCGGCCCCATTGCCCAGGCCTGCTGACCCTCAAGACAACTGACTCTGGATATGATACAGGAGCTCCAACCACCCACAGGCACGGCCAACACGACACCACCGCTTTCGTTCATGACACTACAACCCCCTTTCGTTCACCATGGGAAACTGAGGTCCAGGGCAGAGGACAGACACAGGGTCACCCAGACTCCCCGTCTCTTTTTGTTCACATACAACTTCCATCCCTCAGAAACCACCCAATATCAGCTCGAACAGCCGTAGGTGAGTGACATGGGCCTCCGGGGCCCCAGTTCTGTGATACGGGATGGGCAAGCAGGCTCAGGCAGCCAGCCAGAGAGCCACACGGTGCCCCCTTCCTCTGCCTGTCACGGTGTGGAGAGAGGGCTGTCTTGGTGCCTTTTCCTCGTGCACAGGGCAGATGTGGTCCTGCAGTGGGACACCAAGCACAGAGCCATCTGCCACTCCCTCCCCAGGGCTCAGCTAAAAGCTGGGGCTGGGCCTTTGACTGTCAGAGGTCTGGCACTCAGGAGCAGCAGTGCCCCAAGGGCTCACGCACAGGACCACTCTCAGCCTGTAACAATGCCCAGCCCCCAGCAGGGACTCTGCAGGGTCAGCCTGAGCGGCCCCAGGGCCAGCCCCCTTGGCTGCCAGCAGGATTGGCTGTTGAGGTCAGAAGGCAAGGCAGGGGGTCACCCCGCTCAGTAGGCAAGCCCGTGAGTGGGAGAGGAGGGGCGGGGTAGGGCATTTCCAGACGGAGGGATGGGCAGTGGGCAGCAAAGACAAGCCACACCAAGGCTTGGCTTTCACCTCTCCCCCAGGACCCACCCTGAGTTCCATGCCCTTCAGGAATGACAGCCCAGCAGGCAAGATCCTGGCAGGGCTTGGGGGTCCTGGAGAGCCGGGGGATATGGGCAGGGGCCTGGATCCTACCCCTTCGGATCTTTCAGCACCAATGTCAAAGTGGTGGCCCCGTCTGATGCAGACTCGTAGGCGCCATGTTCTAGAGCCCTCTCTGAGGGCCCCCACTTTCCCTCCCCTTTGCTCCCACCAAGAGGAATGCTGGGGAAGATGTGGGCCCTGACTTCTGAGGGGCCCATGAATAAAGGGGACCCCTGGCCGCACCGGCCTCCTTCTAGGTTCTTTCCAGTCTCCCCTGCCTTTGCACAGACTGTTTCTTCCCTCTGGTACCCTTGTCTGAGATCCCAGCCCTGACTTGCTCCTTGTGACCCACCGGCGATGTCACCTCCTCTAAAAAGCCCCCTGAGTCTACCCTGGACCTGCTCCATCTGCTCTGTCTCTCATCCTGACTCCCCATCCCTGCACACCCTAAAATGGGCTTGTTTCTTTGTTATCTTGTTTCTTATGTGCATTCCCCCTCCCCGTGAGTGTCAGCTGGCATAGGAGGAATTTTGTTCTTCTGCAGCTATATACCGAGTCTAGAACAGAGCCCAGTATACAGTAGGCACCCAATAAGTGTCAGATGAGCAAATGTCCCCAAAATCTCAATTTACTCACCTCTCACAGGGGCACTAGAACTCCCTTGCCAAACCCCATCCATGGAGTGGACCCACGGGAGATAGAGGACTTGCTGACTAGCTGACCAGAGTTTTGGTGACTGCAGGGGGCACTCTGGGACAGCAATGCAGCCTGTAGCTGCACCTAAGCCTGCCTGCTGCGACCTCAGCTCAAGCCTGCTCTTCATGACACTCCCATCTATTGGCTGAGAGTCCTCTCAGCAGCCTTTTCTGAAAAGGTGGGGTGACCCGGAGGTATAGACTGTGACGCAACCATGATGACCAGCCAGCAGGGGGCGCAGAAGAGATAGGAACACGTTTTATGGATCCTGAACTCAGGATCGCAACCCCGACCCCAAACTGCAGACCTGGAACCTGGAACGCCAAACCCACAGCCCAGACTCAGGTCTCAGGATCTGAACCCCAGATTTAGAACCTGGAACCCAGAGCTCAGGACCAGACCCCACTCTGGGGACCCAGCTCCAAAACCCAGGATTCCAAACCCAGGCTCCAGACCCCAGGCCCAGGTCCCAGGATTCTAAACCCAGAGTCCAGATCCAGATATCAAGACCCAAGACCCAGACCCCAGACCCAGGACACGGGCTGCTGGTTTTCCAGACTGGCATTGCCTGCTGCCCTGTAGACAAGGGTGGGGCAGGGTTGGGGTAAAGTCTTGGCAAACAGCAGGGGTGAATGCTTGGCAGACCTTCCGGGTAATGTTCAGAGGGGCATGAGGAATGTCCCTCATTCTGTCAGAGCCAATTTAGGAAGCTCAGAATACAGTGGCCACATGGAGCGGGTGAGGGACGGGAGCGATGGGTAAGGCCTCGCTATCCCTTGGGCCCAGGAACCAGAGTCAGGGAAGAAGGTCTGGCTCCCCATGTGCCCTTATCCCCCTGGCCGCAGGCTCTGCAGGCCGCCCTGGCCCGCCCCAGACCGCCTCTCCTGGCCCATGGCCTCTGGGCTGGGACGCAGGCCCACACTTCCCGGAGGAGTCGAGAACGCGGCCTGGGCCAGACCCAGAGCCTTAGAAGTAGGTCAAATGTTGCTGTGCAGCAGGTCCTGGAGACCCCGTCCAGGCGTGGGCAGGCCCATGGGCTGCCGCTCACCCACAAGGGCACGTGTGTATCTGCAGAGATGTGAACTCACCACCACATGCTGAGTGTCCATAAATACAGACCCCACTCAGGGCCACTCGT